TTTCGGGGTATCCTATTGGGGAAAGTGAGTTCATCATTGTCTTAGTAGAAAATTAATAATTGTTAGGGTTTTAACAACTTAGTTGTAACTAGATTGAACTAACCATTCTCAGTGATGATGATTTTGGGATTGCCATAAGTACTCCCTATATATATCAACGCATCCCTTAGCCCTTGTGGGTAAACATATATAGCATCACTCCCTGGTGCCTAGATTGGAATTAACCAAGACCACAACTTTATGATTAGCTATAAATGTCAAGAATTAGTCATATACGTCAACTATAAGTAACTCACAAATAAATTATCATACCAGTGGTCCAATGAGTGCCCCCTTGTTATTCGTAGCTGGGACAAGGATGATAGATAAAAATGAGAGATTAGATAATTCTAGTTTGTCAACAACACATTTTTTTGTTCCAAATGAGTTTTTATTGCAAATAAGAAAAAAAATTATAGCTAATTTGCAAGAAAAAACAAGGTTCTCCTTATAAAACTTACGCGTGAGTTCAACGCGTTGGAAATCAGCTTGGCCAGTAACAGTGTCATTTGGACCTAACATTGAAAGACCCTTTGCATAGTAAGAAGTATAGTAATTAACACCGATGAAATCATATGATCCTTGAACTAAAGTTTTTTGTTCATCAGTAAACGTTGGAAGCGCATCGCCCACCAGAGCTTTCATTATGAACGGATAGTCACCATAGATTAGGGGCTCCAAAAACCTAGTTTGGATGGAAGAGACATGTCATGAAAATTGAATCATTTGAGTTTAATCATTATTTGGTATCACTATTTACATTACTTAAGTAAGAAAAAAAAAATGTTTGACTAACCATCCCGTGAGGAAGTCAAACGCTCTCATAGCTGCATCGTTATCAAGTCGTCCGGATTCATATGCCTCAAACCATTGAGTCACTAGTGGAATACCAATCTCTCCTTTTTGAGTTGCCTATGGAAAAACAATATTTGAATCTTTAAACTATATTGCATTAGGCGTAGGATACTTGCACACACATATATATGTCTATATGGACTTATGTATTTCTAAATTAAATAATCACCTGGTAAGTCTCTCTATATAGTTCAGCAACCGAGGCATGGGCTAATATAATATTATGTGCGGCAATGAATGGATCTGTTGCGGGTTGTGCATCTGGTTTGTTCAGCCCTATATTGTACCCATATTGTGCAAACACTTGCGGCTCATTGATAGTAGCCCAGTACTTTACTCGATCTCCAAATGTTTGGAAACAAAGATTGGCGTAGGCTTTAAAGTCATCTCTAAGTTTAAAAATCACAAAGTACTCAAAAATAATATATATATATATATATATACATATATTATGTGTACGAAATAAGCATTCACATAATACTGAGTGTTATTGGAAACTAAATTTAATATAAAGTTGGTTTAGACAGTTTTTTCTATTAAGAATCCGTAATCCATCTCTTAATACAAGTGCACTGTTTAAATAGACTAAAGTACTTCTCGATCATTTTTTGCGAAATAGTAACTAAAACTGTTTTTACTTTTTAGCAAATGTATTTTTTTGATTAAATAAATTATAGAGAAAAGAGGTTATCAAACAATAAATTAGTGTAAATGTGAATAAGACACTTACATAATCTGGCTGTCCAAGAACCCATAATACTTATTTTGCAGTGCCGTGGGCAAGTCGAAGTGGAAAAGTGTCACAATTGGGGTTATACCTACATTAAAATTTTTGTTTATCATGAAAAAGAGAGAATCAAAGATGCACTGTAACAGCTCAAACTTCATATTCCTGTTCGAGCAGCTCATTAAAAGAGCTCAAAGTAAGTTAAATGAATAATTTCTTACCATTCTTGACTAGTTCATCAATGAACTTGTTGTAGAAATCAATACCCTGTTGGTTTATACCACCAGCTATTGTTCCATCTGCATTTTTTCAACATCAAAAACACCAATCAATGGAGATATATGGCGTTTTAGCTGGGACACTAATGGTGGTGGTGTGGATTATTGAGTCATGTAAAGAATAACATAAAAATAAGTAATACTTCTTAGAACCCAAAATTTAATCTAATTTGTTGATTTAATCTAATGATTATAATGAATTAGACTAGTGAATTGAGTAACTATATTAAATGTAAAGAGTATTATTAATAATGAATTTTGTCATTTATAAGGATAGCTAAGAACATACCAGGGAGAATCCTAGACCAAGAGAAGGATAACCTGTAAGCATCTGCTCCCATTTTCACAAGCTGTTGCACATCGTCCTATTACACCATGCATACAAAATTATTATAAACTACTCAATACATACATCCATAACCCATTTTCAACCATTACCCATTTGCATCTCATGAGGTTGTAAACTCGATGTTAAACTTCCTTCTAGTTTTAAATAAGTGTTATGTTTGACATGATCTTGATCAAGTAAGAGAAGAGTTTTGGATTTCATTTACTGGGTATCGATTGTATGAGTTGACTGCAATTCCACCTTCTAGCATAGAATCCCAGGTGCTGGGTCCTCTCCCTCCTTCTGTTGCCGATGACTCTGTCTGCACCAAAGTCCAGATAAATATCACATCATCGGAGGCTCAACACAATTGGGGGCTAAGGCGAAAATCTCAAATGAGGCCCTATTGATATGTGTTATAGCAATATATAAAATACCATATCAATACTTAAACAGAGTCACTTAAAACTTTATTTTTTTATTTTTTAAGATGTGAAAATATATATGGATCATATGAAAATAAAACATTACAAATAATATTCAACACAAGGTTAAATTCCAAATTGGACAGCTAATCCCAAAAGTCCAAAAGTATTTGAACACCAAGTCATTGCCCATAAAAAACAGTAGACCTGAACAAAAACCAAGAGACATGGAAAAAAAAATCACAATACACCCACAACACTGACCCCCAAAAAGAAAAAAAAAACAATACACCCATAACAATGACCATTATGAATACATACACATATACATATATATATATATATATATATATATATAGAGAGAGAGAGAGACCTGCAAAGCAGAAGAGGCGCAGCCAAAAATGAAATCAGGAGGGAAGTCTTGTCTTGTAACAGCTGTTGGGTCTGGAACAGGAGTTGGGGTAACTCCTCCATTAAATAGGCGGCTAAGAAGATCGGCTGTAGGGGCAGCGACGCCTTTCAAACATCTGATGGTAAAAGAAGGAGACGAAGATGAACCCTTCCTTGCACTCTTCAGATATGGAACTCCCCCAATAGGGCCAGTAATGAATTGGCTTCGTCTCTTTAAGGAACCCAAATGAGTAAGTGATAGATTAATCTTTGGTGAAACAGCGTTAAGAGCCATGGTCAGAGAGAGAGAGAGAGAGAGAGAGTTTATGGTAGGTTTGAACTTTGAAGTTTGAAGAGACCAACTGCTTAAGGGTATTTATTTATAGGGAACGGAGATGGGGGGAAAATTTTAAAAAGTTAGGTTTGTTTCCACTGGTATTATAATTTAATTTATCTTGTACACGTCACACAAATGAGCACAAGATGTTCACGTTGTTCAAAGTATGAATCGTCAACAAATACTAACCTTTAAGTTTCATGCAAACGTCCTATGTTTTATCAAAATAACACAACTTTCCCCTATTTTTTTGTAGAATAACAAAGTAACCACTAACTTTTGAAAATATAGCACCAAATAACTCTCAATGTGCATAAAAGAATCAACATAATCATAAGTAGAATTAAATTGAAAAATATGTCCTTTATACAAATTTTTGTTTCCTTATTTCGTTTGTAATAGATAGCACAACAATGTAAAATTGTTTCACTAATTATCGTTACCTCCCCTTACCTTTACATAATTATCTTTGATCACAAGTTAAATTCAAACATTTTTGTAACAATGTTAATTTGATACCTACCTGTTACAAGTGCTTGTGTTAAGGGGTCATAATGAAATTTGTCCTAGATGTGGAAACGGGAGAAAACTTGGAATTGTGAGGTTGCATTACCTTGATTTACAAATTGATTAGTACATGTTAATTAGCATGTGGTCAAAGAAACGTATAATTGATTGTCCAGATAGGTAACATTAATTATCCATTAGTCAAATATATCGTTCAACTAAAAGAATAAAATGTTCGTTCAATTAAAAGAACAGTACTATTAGAATCTATTTGATCGATCTAATTCATTGTAGTCATTAGATTGACTGTATGTCTCATTAAACAACAAAACTTAGTACTAATTTAACGGCTATAATGAAACTACATCATTAAATTAACAAATTAAATCAAAATTTTAAATTTTAATAACATTACTCATAATAAAACTGTGTGCCCTTATATGAATTGAGACCCGGCGTCTAATTTTTTTTTTTTTTTTTTTTTTACTTTACACGGTAGATCATGTACAGTGACTCCAAGCAAGTCTTTCACTAATACAAAGGGAATGATCTATAGATATATTAGAATGGATCCACATCTCGTTCATACAACATACCGCTTTTATGCTAACATGCACTAATTAAGGTGGCGGCATAATTAAACCCAATTCAACACGTTAGAACTTTGTCAATAGCTGCCTATACCTTTGTCAAAAGCTGCCTAGTTTTTTTATTGGTTAAATTCAACCTCGTGATTTTTATGTTTGATTTATTTATTAATTCGTTTCTGACGAATCGTGTCATATTGAGTTTGTATTGTGTATGAATCGTGTAAAACCTGTATATAAGCAAGTCGAACCGTGTATTTTTTTAATTGACTTCACTATATCCAATTCATGTATTAATCGTATCGGATCGGGTTTACTAATTTACGAAACTAGTGACTTAAAAAATATTCAAAACAATTAATTACGCTATTATTACCGGGTCCATGACCCATATACCACAAAACCAAATTTTCAGTTGGATTCGAATTTGGACCCAATGGGACTGTGAATTCCCCACACCACTACTAGGTTTTGTGACTCTTCAGTGAATAGCCCAATACAGTCCTTAATAGGCCGATGGCTTAGAGGCCCAAAACCATAGTAGGGAAACTCAGGTAATCAAATCATCATCGTCTGATCGTTGGTAGGAGCGTTACAGTTGAATGATCGGTCCGGTTGGGGAAGAGAGCACACAGTGAAAACATGACAGCCACAGCTCAATCGTTCAATGGCAACTTGAAGGTCAACTTTCTTCTAATTTTTCTCACTATTTTCTTTCTCTTTGTTTTTGATCTTCTTTCGTTACTTGCCATTTTATTTGGTTGTTGAGAAACCAAAGGAAAATGAAAGGAAAACAGAAAAGAAAGGGAATATGACTCCAATTACTTGTGTTCCTTTGGTTTTTCAAGTTAATTGAAAAACAAGTCCAGTTCCTGGGTCTAGCACCGGTGTTTGATTTCATATACCCTGGTTTTAGTTAGATGTATTGACATCCAAACGTGTTAGGTGAAATGTCGTATTGCAATAATCTTAGAATGCAAGTTATTACTGCAAGTCTCCAGTGAAACATTGCAGGTGTTTGTCAAAGCATGCCACATGTTCGTGAAATGTACTGAGTGGCTTGTAGTTCTATATGTGTAGTGGAACAACTTTACATTGCCCACTTCTTTTTGTTAAATGTGATCTTTATTTGAATTAATTTTGGATACCTACAAATACCTTGGGTGTTGTCTGTTCATTGGGTCTGGTGTTTCCTGAAGATAAACCAAACCAAGCTTTATGTCCCAATCATTTGGGGTCAGCTCTATGAGTCCGTCTTTGCCATTCATGTCAGTGTTTCCTGATGATCATAAATACTATTTTGGAACTTTTGTCATGTGGCTATGATTTGGCAAGTGAAAAGAATATACACTTTGATATTCATGCAGAAAGCACTTGCTGGGTTAAGACGTATCAATCTTGAAGGGCTGCGATGGAGGGTGTTCGATGCCAAAGGCCAGGTGAGACTGCACCATTTCTTTTCCCCTGCTTTACTTCGTATTGTTAAATTTGATGATTCATCAGGCTAAAATGCTTTGGCAACTGAGTTGACTGCATTAGATGAGACTTTAGTTAATAGAAACTAATGCAATTATTTTCTTCATTTGTAATGGACCTGAATTGCTGTGAAATGAGGCCTGAAAATTATGCTTGTCATCTGGTGTGAGCACAGATGTTTGGACTAGCATTTTCCTTCCTCTAAGTTATGAAATTCCAAATTTAAAAGTGATTTCCTTTTAACATAGGTCCTTGGGAGGTTAGCATCTCAAATATCCACTGTGATTCAGGGCAAAGATAAGCCAACTTATGCGCCCAATCGCGATGACGGGGATATGTGCATTGTTCTTAATGCAAAGGATGTTTGTGTAACTGGGAGAAAACTTACTGATAAGTTCTACCGATGGCATACTGGGCAAGTACCTTTCTTTTTGGCCTTTAATATTATAATGAAACTGTAATGTTTATATGTTTTTGGTATTGGGCCTCCCCAGTTTGGTGCTATCTGGGACAGTAATGAGCTAATCAAATGCTATGAAAAGCGAAAAAGCTGAAGGCTATGATTTCATTGATGCATATTTGGAATGCCCTCAGTTTGTCATGATGTTGGATATATGTGATGTAGGTATATAGGCCATCTAAAGGAAAGGAGCTTAAAGGACCAGATGGCCAAGGATCCTACTGAAGTTATTCGCAAAGCTGTCTTACGCATGCTCCCGAGAAACAAGTTGCGTGATGTGAGTGCTGTTAAATTGTTGTTCTTTCCCTAGAACTTATTGTCCAGCAATGTTGACATGTTTAGAATGTAGTCGTGTACCATCATTTTAGATAGAAATTATTTCACTTCTCCATTAAGTACCACAGAGAGTGATTTACATTGCCCTTGTCGAACTCTCATCTCCTCACTTCCCAAAAATTATGCAAAAAAAAAAAGGGGGAAAGAAGAGAGAGACATTGATTCTTCGTTTCTTATAGGGGAGGCACTTTGATAGGGTGGATTTGACTTGAAAGAAGTATTGATAATACCGTGCCATAAAATATGCCACAGAAGTAGTAGTTTTTTTATTGAAGTGCACTAAACCATTCAGTGTGTGCCTTATGTGGAACAAGCACTGCCACCTAAAGAGCATTTACGACGTCATGCAATTTCATATCTAAGACACTTGGGTTCCTCTGGAAGAGAAGTGTAAACTGCTTTTTCATTACCCACCAGTGCCAAATGACTGTAATTCTTTCGGGACATGAAAAGTGTGATCACCTGTTTAACATATCAAGGTGGTTGCTGGAGACAGGTTGAGGGTATTGTATGGATGATGGTTTTACAAGCAAGTTGTGTTGGTTGGAGAGTAATCGAGGGAGGACTATTGAGCAGAGTTAATGTTTCATAAATCACTAAAGCTTGCTTGTTAGATCTTTTTATACTGGTGGTGGATTCAAAGCAGTTTGTTGGTTTACGAGCTTGAAAGATATGATTAGATAATTTATCCTGGAGGCGTCCTGTGTTTCTGTACTTTTAACATTGCTGCTTTGGTATGCAGGATAGAGATCGAAAACTGAGGATATTTGCTGGCAATGAGCACCCCTTTGGTGATAGGCCCATCGAACTAGCTGTGATGCCTCCACGACAAGTAAGAGAAATGCGTCCCCGCGTGAGGCGAGCTATGATTCGAGCTCAGAAGAAGACTGAGCAACAGCAAGAAGGCACTACGGATACAAGAAAAGGCAGAAAGAAAGAAGAGGTCAAAGCAGAATTGAGTGCCTAGAGAAGTATGGCAAGAGATTTGCTTATATACTCCATGTAAACACCCTAGATCTGGTCATGGGCTCCTGCTTTTCTTCTTTTTTTTTTTGGCTCAAAAAATGATATTGGCATGGCAGCCTTCCCTTGGAATCTGTTATAATGTCATCGGGATTTTGTTTAGATGGGGTACTTATTTTGGCAAGCATAGAAAGAACAATGGGGCTTATCAGTTTTTCTTTGTCGTGTTTGAAGCTCAAGTTACGATGAGGATTCTGCTACACATTCTATTTTTTGGCGGCTTGCCGAGCTTGATCACTAAGCTTAGTCTTCCTGTTTAGAACCTTATTAATGATTGGCTAACTTGGAGTAGGCATCTTGCGTTGAAGCAATACTAGGACGGTAGATTGATAGTTTTCTCAAATACATATTGCATTTAGTTGTGCTTTTTCTCTTTGGATTGTTTGAAACATCAAGAGTGCTCGTGATACTGCATCAAGAATGTGTGTAATATATTCAGTACGCAAGATGCAGTGAACGCGGTGCAAACTGCCATTGAATGAGATATACGTCTTATTTTGATGTGTAATACAAAATGGTCTGCGATGTTACTTGTTTTCGTATTATTGTACCAAACATCACATGAAGAGCTCAGAGGGATGATTTTAAAGTGAACAACTAGGTTGAACATTAGTTCACCAAACTAACGCTCCACCAGGTGGCTTTTTAACTTAACACAAACCAAATCAAGAGCAATTGGAGTTTGAATGAAATTCAGTTCATGTATGAAGCACAACATTCAGAAAAGAGAGTACAACAACATGAGATCCTTATGTAATTGATTTTGGGGTTTACAAAACATGCGAGACATCAGATAAATACATATTAGTTTAAACAATTGAAAATAAAAAACAAAAACTGGCAAAAGCAAGCATAAGTAGCACAAATCAAAGAAGGCCAATAGCTTCATCACTACACAGCACAAAATCTCCTCTAAATTACCAAAAGAAAGGCAAAATAGGATGAGGCAAAAAAGATCTACGATCCTAATCACTTGAAGATCCATCATCGTCGTCTTCATGCTCTGTAACCACCTTCTCTATAAACCTCTTCCTCACTCCATCAAGTACAGCTTTTCTAGACTGTTCATTACCACTCTGGCCATCAGTAAGCACAGGATCCGACTGGCAGAGAACTAACGCAACACCTACAAATTTTGATGAGCAAACTCTTCAATCAGGACGTCTCAGAATCAGGCCAGCAGGTTAATCAAAAAAAATGTGACCAAAATCATCGGATTCAAGTTTTAAAACCTGAATGAAGCAAACTAAGCAGAATAACAGAAACCACTTTTATGTTTGTCCATTGAAACAAAAAGGAGTTCTAGAAGGAAATGATTGGCACTCAAAGAACACTGCATAAATGATAAACAACATTGCTGAAACTGTTGGTTTATCACTGGCGTATGTGATATATCGATTTTTCAAGGCAACCCAGGGAACTAGTAACAGGTCCTTCAACCTATATTCCTCTGTAATTATAAATATATTATGTAGAGACTTTTTAATCCTAGCAAGCCACTGATCATTGGACAGGTCCCCTTAAGTGTTACAAACTCTGGCTGAGAAAACACAGTAGCATGTGATTCAAGCATAGAATACACAAAACACTCCCATTCCAAAAAGGATTAAGGAGCAATGACATTGATTTTTTTTCTGCGATGATTCCGACAGATCAATTATGTATCATAACAAAATTTTGTTATATGCCTATACAACTCTCATGGCGACAGGAAACACAGTAGCATGTGATTCAAGGGGCATATGGCAAAACAACTGGAGAGAGAGAGAGATGCTTGGCAAGATATTCAGGAAAGTTACCTTCCGGAGAGCAGCTCCGACCAAAACTATGCAAGCCCACATAATTTGCCTTGACAGCACTATTGTTGTACACCAACAAAGTGGGAAGATTACGATCTGGATAATTAGGAATGCAATCAGTAGAAATTATCTTAACAAATTTTGTTGCGGGGTATCTTGCCGCCAGTTCTTCCAAACATTGCAAAAGTACCCTGCATTCTGGATACCTATCACAAAGTACAGCAGAGTTAGACACACACACGAGCATATTTGCTTCTGTATTTTGTTGTATATATGCATTTGTTATTCAAACAGATTTACTGAAACGATAGAACTCAGCACCCCCTACAGTAAAGCTATTAATACCATATACTGAAGTGAAGATTGAAAAAAGAATGAAGCTATCCATAACAATTACCCATCCTTGTACAAGATCACGACAACCCAAACGTCCGGGGAGCTTGTGAAACCTCGCGCACAAAATCCGAACCAGAAATCGGAATCACTGATCCAAATCTCGAAACCTTAGCTACTTCTCTCATCTCTGCCAACCTCTTCTTCCTTTAAATACACAACCACCACGAAAATAGAATCACTTAATAGCAAACTTGAAACAAATACAGTTAATTACATCGATTGTAATAATTCAATCACCATTAAAGGGTTTTCAATTTTATTATGTAATTCCTTTCCCTTCGTGGCGGAATTAAGGGATAAAGAGAGTACCTGTATTCTAGGAGGAAGCGATCGTCGTCCAGATCGGGGTCATCTTCGAGATCTTCGAGCTCTTCTTCGGTCTTGTCATCGATCCAAGCTTTGTCTTTGGGTTTGGAATCTAGTTCTTCGGCGGGTGCGAAAGGAGGGGGTTTGAACGCAGGGGGCTTCGGAGGGAGGTTGCCTAATTTTCTCTGAATATCGTCCCACTGCGTCGACGCTCCTTCCACGTCCTTGTACACGAAGTGGTAGTCCGCCATTTTCTATCGTGCTCTCTCTCTCTCTCTCTCTCTCTCTCAGGGTGCTTCGTTTTGCTTCGGGGAGCTTCTCTGATCTTGTGATGATTTGGGAAGAAACAATCACGGACCTCCAAAACAGGCTTGTGATTGGGCCTTCTTTTGGGCCCAACTAAAGATAGAGTTCAAAGCATGAACCGTTGGGCCCAACTGGCCTATTCAAATCAACAATTACAAAACGAAGGCCCACTTTCCCAGCAACAAGAGCCTGCAAAGAAATCTTTAAAAAGTCTCTGAAAACAATTTTTGATTGCAAAATCGCTTGAATTGAGTTGATCATTTCTAGATTAAAACAGCAGAGGACAAATAGTTGTTTGGTTCAATTGATCTTTATTGTTCCTTCCTTGAAGGGGTATAGGGTTAAGTAAACCAGCATAGGACATGAGTTGGAAAAGGGGAAGGGAATTCCTACACATGGAGCCATCACCATGGTAGCAAACTATACATGCAAACAACCTTCATGCGAGGTGTTAAAATACACTCAAAAGGTCATAACCATCTATCTATAAGTTTCTCCAGATGAAGAATTAGAACGCATGACAAAGTAATCATTTCATTACAACACAACCAAAGGAGATAGTCCTTTCATTAAGCATTGAATTCTCCACCAACGAGTCAATAACCAAATAATAAGGCCAAGAAATAAGAAACTACACAGCTCACCAGCACACAATTGTAAATCTAAACTGGGAATGCAATATGGTCAACATGACACATACCGAAGATTCAACACATGTGAGAGAATCGAAACCTGCCGCCAAAGAATCTTTCAATAAAAATGTATTAATCTCAATCACTTTATCAACATCAACTGCCTGATGACTAGTCGGTACAAGAATACAACACCACAAAGAATAACAACACAACAGAGGAAAATGAAAGAAAAAGAGGAGGGGGGGGAGGCCAACGGAGAACATACAATGAAAAAAGTAGCACCTATATCTGCCAACTACCTAACCCAAGTAACTAAACAGAAATACAACAGTAAAAAAAATATATTCAAAACTTTCCTTGCCTTCTAAAGTTCTGGAGTTAATTAGCTTTGGTGCTTCTATCTTTGCACAACATATGCCACTCTTGTAGCACAGCGGCCTGTAGAGCACGATGCTCAACCTCCTCCGCGGTTAACTCAAACAAAGTTGATGGTTTCTCCCCTTTTTCCTTCTTTTCCTTGTCCTCTGTTGTCTTTTTATCGTCGTCTTGCTCCTCGTTGCCTTTTTCTTCTTTGTCATCAGATTTTGGAGCCTTGGGACGGGGTTGAGCAGCCTTTAACAAGGCTATCCGTTCCATTGAGGTCCTTAATCTCTCAGCAGCAGCCACCTTTACTTCATCTTCTGGCATGTACTCAACCCCGCCATCAGTAAGGTCATCCAACCAGGCCTGTAGGTCTGACTCAATCTCCTTTGTGATGGATGCATCAGAAGCTCGAACAACAAATTTGCACATCATGGCCGTTGTCTCATCACCCAGGTCCACATTTCTGCTCACTTCACTGGCACCAAAAATCATCATGCCCAAGAAGCCTCCATACCATGTTTTTGCAGCAAAGCAGAGCTGTTCAAGACCAGAAAGTAATTAAAGTAGACATTGGGTACCTCTGAGGGGCATCGGCAGTGAAGCCAAACCAGATCTAAGAATGATTTGATATTTTAGCTTTTGAAGAGGGGAGAGAGGGGGTGAGCAAACAACAGTACCTTCTGGTTCTAAAGTTCAGAGACTAGTCATCATGTTTCAACTTGTATTATATTGTACTTTTTGACATCTCAATTATTTTTTCATGATCTTTCCCTAAGACATTAATAAAATTTCTCTCACGGTTCACAAGATAAAGTTAAGCAAAAAGGTAACTATATATGAGCCAGTAACTGATTTCAGCTCCAAACTAAACAAACTAATGCACGCTTGAAGAGTGAAAGATTAAACATATCATGACAGTAAACAGCAGATGTGGGTAAAGGAGCAATGCAAGGTCGATTTAAGTAATCACCAGTACGGAAGTTCAATTTAGGTATTATGTCGATGAAATGGTTGCACATCTATAATGGAAAGAGTTGGTACGTCAACAAAGAAATATTAGAATGTACCTGAAATCCAGCCACTGTCCGGATAATATGTGAGCAAACTCTATGGAAAGGCTTGGAAGACAGAGATTTCAGTCCACTCAGAAAAGGGGAAGCCCCATATTGCTGTGCAGCAGTAGCCTTAAATCCACTTCCTTCATATGTGTATGTGCCAGTGTACTCCACTATTGCAGGTAAACTAGGCCATAGGCGGAAATATTCAACAGGTGAGATTTTATGTGGCATGAGAATCTCAGACAATGGAATCTTGTAAGGAAGACATCTCAAAATCACAGGTTCTCCTAGTTCTGGCCTTAGACTTTTCTTTTGTCTCATGACTTGTGGATCTTCATCAGCATAGTCCCCTTCATAATCTCCTGAAGCACCACTACCATAAAAGGGGTAGTACAACACTTGAACCCAAAGAGCACATCTCTCAAAGTGGGAGACGCCTACAGTCACACTGCAAAGCACTGGATCCTACAAACAATCATATCAAGTAAATTTTAACATAAACCTACATATTTAAAATACTTTGGGAACAAGGAAAAACACAACTAAATTTTCAAAGTGAAAACACTTGTTATCATTTCCTTGTGGGATCAGAAGTATAGGCTTAAACCAAAAACATAAAATAAATCAGTAAATAACGCGCACAAATGCTATCGAACTTGTAAGCGCGCACGTGAAGCAGGAACATATAACTTTTGCTGGGTCCTTTTTTGAATTCTTAGCTTGTTTTTTTGGATTTTGTGCTTGTGGTTTCTCAATATCGGTTCAATGCAAGAACTGGAGTCCTGGGACTCACTAAAAAACATGCTTTTTCAGAAGACCTTGGACTTTTCTTCTCTCATCTGCGCACACTCATATGACCAAGCATTCCATAATTAGTATATCCTAATAGAAAGTTACTCAAATTCTAGGATCGTAGGACAGAAAGCTACAACTTTTTTCTTTTTGGGAAATTGAGCGGCTGAATAAGAGAAACTATATCAAGGAGATAAAATAGAGACAGAATAGTCCAAGCACACCCTACGTGTGCACAGAGAGCTGCAACCAAAAGAGACTTCATTGAAGAGAAAACCTCAACAAATAGAATCAAAAGACTCACAACTGTACATTACTTTCTCCCTAAGGCTGATACACATGCTTTAAGGTTAAAAATAGAAACATTCAAGATCCCACAATTCACTGTTTCCAAATGCACCATTATGAATAATGCAAGGCCATTACACAGCTCAGCAACAAAGCAGTTCAGTTTTTTAAACCACTATCCCTTATACTTCAACAACTTAGTAATGCCCAAGTCCTGACAGACCATAAATGTAGCAACCATATGCCAACAAAAATCGTGCAATCACACCGAAGAAGAGGCTGTTGATGCTTTTAACCTGCTTATGGCATACAGATTATCAAACCCACCTGCAGTAGTTTTTGCTTCTTGTTTAAGAACAAAAATTCATCAACCAAGAAATTACAAGAAGTAAACTAAAAGAAAAATATGCATTGACGAGTCACAATCAATATATTAAATGATATCCCAAAGCAACCTGTGAATTAAGATCGCGCAATTGCCGCACTGCTTGAGGAGATCCATCCATAAAATATAATCCACCAGATAGCCCAACTCGAATATCGACCCGATTCAGCTCAATTTCAGTCAAATTTAGAACCTACAACAGATCTGATTGTTAGCACAACTGGAAGCAAATCCCCCAAAGGCTTTCACTTATTAAACTTAATATCACCTTCAAAATCTAATCAAAAAAGAAACTTAATTTGTAAAAAAATAGAAATGGGTATAATGCAAAGAATGAGAAAGTAACATTAGGAGATAATACTTGACAAGTGTGTTCAAGAACTTGAATGATTTCAAAAATGCTACCTACCTTCGAATAATGTCCCATAGAGTGCATTATAATAGCTATTTAATCATAGCACACCACAAAACCACAAATTAAGCATATTCAAAATGAATGACATGTCACCTTAATTTCATTATTTAGTTCTTTTTTTGGTCTACAATATCTCTCCTTTTTTTCCATTTCCCCATAATCTTATGCAAAGAAATTCTTGTGCATGTGATAGCACCATCACAAAATTTTCCTATTTTAATTTTTAATAATCCATTACCAATCTATGACTTTTAACTAGCCACAAACAAACATGTGCATAATGTAAACGGGTCTTTCCTCTTTGATCTCATTCAGTTGATGGTACCCTTCCCATACAAAAGAGAACTACAAAAACATGCTGTAGAAGAACCCTATTTCACTTTAAAATTGACACCTTGAGATATTTCTCCTCATATGAGAAAGGTGCCTCTCAGAACCTTCTTTGGCATATATGGAAGGAGCACGATACTAAAAGTTCACAAAATTTGGAGGTTCTGACTATTCAAGTGAGACTTTTACTATGCCACTGTTCAGCTGGGGTGTTCAGCTGGCACTGGACTTCAAATACCTATTTCTGAGTTCCTAGTCCCTACTTTCTATCTTGTCATGTGCTGCTGTTTGATCATTCAAGTGTCCACCTCACATGTAACCAGACAATGGTCTTTATTGCTTTATTCACTATAATATTTATTGAAAAAAAAAGGGAACATCTCTATGCATACAACATTTCTGGCAAAAAGGAGTTTACAGACGCATCTACAACAGTTAAGGAAAGATGTTCTGACCTTGAGATGCAGAGTGATCCTTCCATCACTTGAATCTGTCAAATGATATGCTTCGACATAGCAAGGGTCACTACTACCAGTCAGAGTATATGCACTTGGAGGAACTTTTAGTAAAGTGGAGTCAATTCCTTTTGTTAGCAATAGAGTTAATTCATTAGGATCAGGGCTCCAAAGTTCTAAAATAGCCTTGTGAACCAACCCTTCCAACTTTCGGTCCTGAGCTG